GCTTGTCTTCTAATGACTCAAAGCAGCTGCTTCTCACAAGCCAGACACGATACAAGAGCCTTCAAACAGCAACAAGCTGGCTGCAAAGCTCATTCAGTTCAACACTCAAACTATGCAAACAAGGAAAGACAAGATGTTGCACAGCTGGTTTCTCTGCTTCAGTTTCTCTACACAACCTCCCCAAAGGCGCCAGGTTCATGCTGTGTCAGACTCAGACCTGTGGGGGCCCTGCAGAGCGGACCGATGTCCCTTGATTACACAAACATCAGAAAACCTGTTTAATTAGCAAACGGGACAAAATTAATATGTGGCTCGAGGGGAACTGGTGGATAAACACTACACACAGCTAAAGTGGAAAGGCTGCCTGGGCTCCCGGAAAACCTCAGAGATGAATTACCAGTGTGGCGACGTCTCCTGGTCAGATGTGTCCCTGTCCAAACGGCTCCATCTGACTGGTTAGCTTGTATCTGGGATGTGAACTGAAGAGGTTATTGGTCACAGCCAAGAAACAGTCCAGCATTTGGCACTTCAGTTTTTATCTGGAACAAACAGGATATTTATCACCTGTTGAGGCAGGTTTTGTTACCTGCCGACCGTCAACATCAACCAAACCAAAAGGCTACCATCTAACCCAGCTAGTCCAATGAGTGTCCTCCCTTCTTTTATTTAAAATTGTCTTTGCAGAATATGTTCACGATTTTAATGAAAACGCTATCACATTAATACCGTTTCAATCTTTTAGCCCTTCAGCTACAAACTAACTTTGCTTCAAATTCCACATCGATCATTTTACAAATCATCTCTCATTTTTCAAACGCGTTTCTTTACCTTCCCACAGCCACTGGTTCCAGCTCATTTTTAGGGAAAAAAACTGACCCTAATACAGTCTCGAAGTGTAAAAAAAAACAACCAAAAATTTGGTTAAAACTAAGTTTTAAAGGTCGATCATCACCTTGGAAAAACCAGCTGACAAAACAACAGTGCCTCAAAGTACATTTGGTGGTTGTTCTGGAGCTTTTGATCACATAACACTAAGAACGTGTCACGCTCATTACTAAAGTCACAAGACATCAGACTTGTTTTCCTGTGAGGTCTTTCAGCAAATACACTAAATTTTCCCACAACAAATGCCCAGTGTCATTATTGATGTTTTCTAGGAGGTGAAACCCTGAGGTTAGAGCATCAGAGGCCCACAGTGAACACAGCGAGTTTGTGTGTGGGCTGACACTAAGCACCGGTTTGCATCATTAGCTCCCCTTCCAGAGCCACAGCAGGGAACTGACAGGACTCAAGACAACTGGGTTATTATTAGTCCTCCAATACTTCACCACCTCACAACCCAGAGGAAAACTTCAGTCAGTTTAGTCTGAAAGTTGGTGTGACAAAGTGCACAGAAATTAATCAGCTGTCTTTACCAGTTAATTGACAAGCAACCATGTTTTCTTTGTAGACCTTCCCAAGGCTTTTGATGCCATTGATCAAAACACTGTCAAAAAGCTGCTTTCTGTGGGTTTTCATTTTCTGCCAACAGCTGATTTATATCCTTTCTCTCTGGTTGTGCTCAAACAGCTGCAGACGGTCCCCAACTGAGTGATGGTGTTCCTTAAGGATCTATATTAGGCCCACTAGATTTTACGTTGTAAACGACTATTATTTCTTAAACTGTCATGCACGTTTTTATAGTGTTGATACCACCTTGTATGCCATCAGCTCAACCCCCCACACCAAAAAAAACACCATAAACTCAGGCCTTCTCCAGACTACAGGCTGCTATTGATGACTTGCAGACCTCCATGTTTAATCTAAAGCTTGTTCTAAACTCCAAAAAGACGAAATGTGTGCAAACCACTGACGTACCCTGTCCTCTGCATACTTAATGGAATACGTAGGAATTTGATGAGGCAGCAAATTGTCCTACAAAACTCCTCTGAAAACAGATCCACGATCTACTGTTACACCGTCTCCACTGGACTATGGTTTTATTCTATGCTCATACTGCTGTCGACCACAGTGCCACAAAGCCCAGGCGGCGGTGCGCTGTGCTCGCTTTGTATCAGGTGAAAAAAAGTGACCAGAAGCGGGCCAAATAATTTCAGCCAATCAGCACAATGTGGTGCTCTCGCTCATGCGTTGCACAGTGTGTGTGTGTGTGTGTTGGGGGGTTCAGTTCTGAAAATTCACAATATTTGTGCAGCTGAAAGGTACCAGCTGCACTGCTTCCACTTAGTCAACCCAACTAAAACATGAGGAGAAAGACAAAAACAACAACAAAAAAAAAAGACTAACGTTAAATCAGGAAAAGGTCGGAGGCCTGTGTAAACGTAGCTATGTTCTGTTTTCCAAAGCTGAAGAGAGCTTTCGGATTTAAAAGGGTTGAGGGCTCATAATCATCCAGTAAATACAGGGGACAGGCATTTTGCTCTATACACTGTAGGGCAGTCATTTTCTTGTAACCCATGGAAGGAATAAAGAGAAAGATTGTCTTCTATCAAACTGTCAAGTACCAGAAGTTGGCATCAACTCAGACACATTTTGTATGGTACCACTAATAACAGTCTTTGTCAGAGGCAACGTTCTCATTTCGCACCCACTCTCCATCAAGCTTTGTTTAACACACATGAAAAACCATTTCATCCATGCAAAGTTTCAAACAACCTTCAGGCAAAAAGTGTAGAAAATATCCCAAATCTAGTTTCAGAAAAACAACCTGGAGCTGGGATGTCTTGTGGAAATGCCAAGTGTGGGAGTTTGGGCTGATCTGGGCACAAGAAAAACAGCAGCACCAGCTACAATAAACACTTCAGCTTCTTATTAGCAGAGAACAAAGTATTCAAGCTTCTCATTCATAGCCTGGTCTTTGCTGGTTAGCACATCAGCTGCCACTGATTAATGTAAATTCCACTGATGGTAGGTCAAGATTAAACATCTCACCTGTGTTTTCTCAACAAGCGGGGGAACGCATCCAGCCAACGTTTAACCGTTGCTTCACTCTGTAACACCAAGATCCAGAAAAATGTAGTAGCCTGTCCGACACAGAGTAAACCTCATCTAACCACAAGTGCTATTTTCAGCATTTCCAGTATCAAATGAAAGGCCTACCTACACACTAAAACTGCAGCAAATGAACGAGGCTGAGCAGAAAAGCCATGTGGATGTTCATGTGTGGCCAATGCCTGATTCAGTGATCCAGATCGGAGCTTCCCTCATCAACTGTGTGGAAACTCGATACAAACACTGGCTGTACTCAGATCTGCTTCCTGTCAGTTTCCCTCCTAGGGCTCAACATGACTTACTCTTCTGCAGATAAATCCACTCCTGCCAATGAACCGTCATCCTGGGTGTCTTATTGATTTCTCAATCCTGCAGCGATGCGGAGCAGTCTGGCGGGCAGGAGTCAGGGGATTCAAACTGGCAACCGAACACAGGCGCACACGCCTACCCACCAGGACTAAAACAAAACAAGAACCTCTATTTCCACTGAGAGACAACAAATCGATGCCTCCTTCTCCTGGATTTTAATGAATTCACGCTGTTTATTTATGAATCAGTGCAGGGAGCAGCAGGCCTTCCAGCACCAGTTGGACTGAAGTGGCCGATTTCTCCTGCAGGATCTCAAGTTTCTGTCTCATTAATGTCACACTGGTTTAATATTCTGAACTTACACTTGTGCACAAATAAACTCCCACGTCTGCCTTCTGTCGAAGCAGATTCATCACTCACACATGCACAGGCACTGCATGAAACACCTCGTCTGCATATTGAAATTAAACACCACAAGACGCTCATTAACAAGTTCCCCAGCGGGGTGGAGGAAACGGCAGTTCTTCAGTTAGAGCTGGCTTCCCTGCCTGCTTCATTAGCAAGCACTCGCAGGTCCAGACTGCCCTCTAGCACGGTAGAAACACATTCATCTGACTCTAACGTGGACCAACCCAGAGAGAGCTAGTCACTGAATCAGCCGAATGGCCCTTGAACGTGGTGCAGCCGAGGGCGGCACTTCACTGCATCCTGTAATCAAATGCATCCAAAGATACCTAAACATGAAAGAGAACTTCAGACAGAAAGCAAAGCTGTGTCTCAGCCTCATGTGTCGCATAAAACCACAGACATCTACTCATGTTCAGTGCAGTGATTCTCAGTCAGGTGGTTTATTGACCCCAGTGAAGCAGCTGCTGCAGTGGAAAAAACCCCCACACATACATGTGTTTGTCTGCATTTAAAGGCTCATGGCACAAATACAGACGAGTTTACAGTAAATACAAAATGGATTCTAAAATTTGAATATTTTTTCTGTAATGCTACCGTTTACTGAGATTCTAAGTTAGTCCAGTTTATGATGTGATGCAAGCTGTATACATGGTCACCTGCATGATAGGAATGGGTTAATGAATAGTTTATCATGGTTCCTTCACCTGTTCCTTTTCAAATTAGTTAAAACTGCAAATGTGCTAAAAACCCTGACATGCTCAGTTACTGCCAGGCTTTACTAGTGCACCAGATTCCTTTGGGATTTCTTTCAATTTAAGACCAACCCCAGTAGTATTAGTAAGAACATGTATGCTGGCAGGCTTAACGTTAACCAGTCGAGTGTATGTTGAATCTGGCATTCACTGCATCCACAGTGCAGCGCTGAAAATAAAATACTCAGATTTTACAGGTGGATCCGTGTCAGCCGTCACCATGCGGGGACAGTTTTGGTCTGGCAAACTTGCAAGACTCGAAAGAACTGTTTTAAAAACATCTGTGTGGAAGCAACAGGAGAATCAGTCAGAAAAGTAACTAACTGGTTGAAAAACGTTTGTCCTGGTGAAGTTGATGAAGGCCGAATTAATCGGTATCTTCGTAATATCGTAAAGACACAAAAAGGTTGGTTATTTGTTCTAAAGATTTTGCCAGGTATGGTCATTAGTTTTATACTATTACATATACAATGGAATTTCGCTTGCGTTCTCCTCCGCCCTCGACAACAGGTGCAGTGCGTTTCCAGCGTGCACACTCACCTTCTGCTGCCGCCGGGCCATGTCTGTGGGCTGCTTGGCGTTGAACGGGTAGGAGATGCACCGCAGGACGAACACGTAGATCTGTAGCTTCGTTTTCCTCTCCTCTTCCTCCTTCTGGATCCGCTCCCGTTCCTTCTTCTCCTCATCTTCACCTGTAGCAGCGCTGTCTTTTGCACCTTTTCCGGAGGAGCCTCCAGGTGCGGCAGATTGTCGCTCCTTGCTGCCCGCCCGGTTGTTATCCCCGCGTTTCCTCACCGCGGACGCGGCAGGTGTCGGAGGAGCCTCCTGGACAACTTCTGGGTCGGATTCGCCGCCGGTGTCTTCGCTGGAGGACGGGTCCAGCATAGTTCACGGCGTTAGGACTCCGGTTAGACCGACTGAGAAGGAGAAACAACTGTTTACGCTTCAGTTTGTTTGTTTTAGTCGACGTGGCGTTAACGACTGCACTTTACCGGCCGACGGTCTCGTACCGGAGCAGTCGGCGGTGTGTTTGGAGACACGGTCCGAGAGCACCTTTTTGTGGAGAGTAGGTGGGCGGAGTTTTAATGGTTAATATTTAGAGGTTGTCTCCGCGTGCGCCACCGGGTACGACTGTGTTGGAATGGCAGCGCGCGCGCCCGCTATCGCTGTTGCTGCACGGAGCTCGCGCGCCCGCTATCGCTATTGCTGCACGGAGCTCGCGCGCCCCAGCACACAGGTGAGCAACCTGTAGCTGCAACCACAGATAGAATCTACGCGAAGAGGTCTCACTCGGTTTGTTTTTCGAGAACTACAACAATCACAGAAAACTGCGAGTCTTTATATTTTGTTACAAACAACCAGAGGTGGAAAATAAGTGAGTATATTTACTCAAGTTCTTAAGTACAGTTTTGAGCTATCTGTGCTTTACTTGAGTATTTCCATTTTCTGCTGCTTTATACAAAGTATTTCGCTACATTTCAGAGGCAAATGTTGTACTTTTTACTGCACTACAGTTGCTGACTGACCACCAGAGGCAGCGGGAGATTCAGTGTCTTGCCCAAGGACACTTCAACACAGGGCAGGCCCGTGGCATAGGCAAATGCTAAGGGCGCCGTACATTTAGGGGGCGCCAGAAATGGAGGAAGAAAAAAAGTGCAGCTTCCACTATTCTTAAAACTAGACTTCAGAAAAGAATAAGCCCACCACATTAATTTAACATGGTTTGCTAATCAATAAATAGCTAGCGCTATCTATCTGTTAACGTCGTCAGATAATGTTATGGAAGGGCCTAGTTGTTATGGAAAATAGTAATGTAACTACCCCCATCATTCCTCCTCGGGCAAATGTGTAAATATTAGATGTATTCAGCAGGTGTTATAACGTTAATTGCATTGACATGGTTATCTGACGTTTTCTCAGCTTGTAATAGTCAATCAAAATGCTCTTCATGTTCCATAGTTGTAAGCCTAGCTGTTTGTTGTGTTACAGTTCATACTGTCTAAAGTGGGTTTATCATGTTAAACTTAACAGTGTTAAAGTGCACAACATTAATGTTAGAGCATAATTTAGCATTCCCACATGGTATATTATACTGCAGTTTACTCATTCTTTGCAATGCATTCTGCTAATTAGCATTTCACTGTAATGACAATAAAATTGAAATTGTTACTAATATATGAATTACTTATATAATTTGTATCAGAAAAAGTACATTGTATATTATACAGTATAGTCTACATCATGCATGTATCTCTAGGTTTTTCATTTATATTATTTCATTTTATTTTATTCTTAAAATCATGTGTTTATTATTAGACTGGTGTCACATACTCCTCTTCTGTCTTCAGATGCTGAGGTTTCTCAGTCCCACCGTTGCAAATCCTCCTGTCACCTCCACCTCAGCAGCACAACCCAGCAGTGATG